TCCATTTTCAGAGAGGTATTCATGTAACAATATATTCATATTTGTGGGTGTAACTGACTGGAAATCATGCATTGCAGACAAAATAATAATAAATCCATCAAAGTTACAAACAAACAATATTTACTGACTTGATTTTAGTATGTATTGGTATCATGTAGGTCAAATGCTAAAAAAAAATAGCCCATTTTTTAACTTGTGCATGTGAATGTCAATACCCTGTCGTATTCTGGGAAAAAGGGCTTTGTTTTTCGCATTTAGCCCACAGGTATGTTCGAACTTTCTTCAAATATGCTCGAACAAAAATGTTGACTCCACATTGGCAGTGACATGATGATTTTTTTTCTACACACTTCACTAAACATCTTCATTTAGAACGTAAAAGACATAAATTCAGTCGCAAAACATTTGTGATCCAGTCGTACAGAAATACAGTGTGCACTGCGTTTCGCCTTTTTTTTTTTGCCTTGATCGATTTCAACAGGAAGAGAAATTCACTGTTGTGATGAGTCCAAGTGATACTAATCACTCATTTCAAGCAGCCTGTTCTTCGCACATGAGTCACTAGAACACATTTAGACGCAGAACCCCCCCTGCAAAACTGACATGGCAAATTCACATCATGTAAAACTATCTTTCGCGGCAGGCCCAGTGCTCATTTACAGCTTACCAGACATGTCAGACACAGCATACAGCATGAACCTATTGTGATCACCCTACAGGCAAGGTCAAACGATGTGCTGAATTTTCTGAAAAGCACAGTCACTGCAGCACGAAGGAAGAACACTGCACAAAGAGGAGCGTGTCTATCAGCACTGGAATCAACACACACAAAGCCAGACAGTTTTCTCCATCGCACAATGTCTAATTCGCACTTTGCCAGCGCAGTTTTGGAGAACAAAAGCATCACCACTGTTGCCGGTGCGTCCTCCCACATTTAGCAAACTGCATCGAGATACTGTCTGAGGGCAGGCTCAGGAGCACACACTGGATGAGCGTCAGGCAGGTGTGCATGTCGGTGCACGTGGCACTGGGATGTCTGTTGCCATGGTGAACCCCCAGAATATCCCTAGACAACACTGTGATATTTTTTAATAAAGTTTGAGTACTCTGACGTGACTGGCACAAACGTACATCCATGAGGGGTTACCTCTCAAAAACACAACTGAAACACTCATACGCACAACAGAACTTTAGAAATGCGAATCATCCTTAGAAACACAGGTGAAATGTTCACATTTACATGACTGAAACATTCATTTCTGTCCATTATATGACCACATTCCAGTCTGAAATGAAGGACTTCTGTAGTGGATGTAAGAGCACTTCACTTGTGTCTATAGCAGCATTTCACTTCATTTTGAGATTACTTAGTTGAAATGGAAGCCCTTCAAGGACACGTCACAGAGAATATCATCACCCAAATGTACGCTTCAAACTGGTGACAATATAGCTGACCCTGCATGGGCCCATTTTTTTAAAATTCAATCACATTCTAAGTGGTCCATTGATTAATTAAAGGATCTGTATTGTCTTATTTTAAGATTTCCACACTTAACTTTAGGAAGAATTATGATCATATCTTACCTTTGGCAGAATGATCATCTAATTTCCTATGAAATATTAGTTATTTTGGTGGCTATTTTGATGACTAACCCAGAAGGAAGACACCTGGCTCATGAAAACACCACCTCTCCCTTTCATGACATTGTCCGAATGCTGGCACAATGCCCACCAAACAATAAGTAGTAATAAAGTCTCTGGGGAGTCTCTGCTTATTGTGCCTCTTTCCCTTATACAGTACGCTCATCGGACATCCCGCCGAGCTCCAGCCAGAGAGGCTGCTTCTCAGGTGTCCTGCCGGCTGCTTGAGAAAGTGGGTGTAAGGGGGTGGCTCCTCTCTTTGTGAGTACCGGTACCCAAATGTTTTCTTGGATTGGGTGAAGCTGGTCCCGAGAGAGAATAATGAGCAGTAATGCATCCAGGGTGGCTGAATGGAGAAAAACACTACAATGGGGTTGGTGACAAATTAGCATTTTAACATGAGTAAAAGCTCAAATAGTTAACTAATTTTTTTATTTTTTTTATTTTCCATAAACACCCAGAATTCTTAAAAAAAATCCCTGTGTGGGTTATGTATATTTTACCTAGGGATCGGGGGGAAATGTGGTTGTCTGCCCAGGGAGTCGCTCATGCCAAAACTGTAACTGGCTGTTTATCGCTTTAGAAAGGAAACAGACAACAGAAGTCTGCATTTTTTAAATGAAAGCCAATGTTTTATTATCCATCCATCCATTTTCTGAACCGCTTTATCCTCACAAGGTGCGCGGGGCGTGCTGGAGCCTATCCCAGCCGTCTTCGGGCAGTAGGCAGGCTACACCCTGAACTAGATGCGAGCCAATCGCAGGGTACACTGTGACGAACAACAATCAGCGCTCACACTCACACCGAGGGACAATTTCGAGTGTTCAATCAGCCTGCCATACATGTTTTTGGAATGTGGGAGGAAATCGGAGTACCCAGAGAAAACCCACGCAGGGCCGGGGAGAACATGCAAACTCCACACAGGAAGGTCGGAGCCACGACCTCTGCACTGTGAAATCGACGTGCTAACCAGTCGAACACTCGGCCGCACCTATATTTTATTCGTTTGTATAAATCCATTCTACGTCCACTTTGTTTTTGTGATGGGATCTCATTTAATCAAAGAGCCTCAATTCGGAATGTGAGCGAAATAGCTTTTCTACTGTGAATGTGAAAGAAAAAAACAAAAAAAAAAAACATGTTTGTTGCGTGAGCTAGGCTAATCCTGAATAATGCCCCTGACAGTCCTCAAACAGGTATGCGTGTGCAACATGCATCTCATGTTCGCAGAAGGCTCAACATGCCTGGCTCACAACCCACACGAATACATTTGAGTGGCGGCAAAAATGACTGTGAGCGATGCCATGGAATGCACGCTACTCGCGCGCGCGTTCATGCATGCACGCGCATGTATGTATCTGAGTGATTCACAAGCCACATCAGAGTCGGCACTGAGAAAAGCTGAGACAACACTGTTTCAGAGAGGAAGCCAGCAATTAGACACACATGCACACACTCTCGCACACAGCAACCCACTAGAACAGTCTTTGGAAAGGATATTTTCATTTGAATTGGTGTTTCAGCCCCTGGAGTCGAAGACTCTCATCTATGGAGTAAATGGCACTTCAGAAATACGGAGTTTCAGTTTGTACCAGCTTCTCGATTTTTTTTAAAATTTGACATCAAAATTCACTTGAATTTCTTTCTCTGAGTCTACTTTGTGTTTAATGTGCCATGCACGTTTCAAGTGACGCTATAATGTAAGACACAACTTCAGCCAGTAGATGTCAATATTGGCTCGCGCTGACACTCAGCCCTCTCCAAAATGGAAGAGCAAGGTCGGTTCCTCTGTTTTTGTTGTATACTGGAGACCATTGGGTGTCCGAAATATCCTCCTGACTACCAGTAGTTCAAATTTGTCCTCTGTAGAGGACATTTGTGAACCTAAATATCTCCCACCCAGTGCCTCCAATCGCATTAACTCCTTTTGTTACTCTCAAGAGGACATTCAGTGATTTCCAATGATACCAAATTTGTAGGGGTTAGAAAAAGTAAGAAAATGGCTTCCCTCAGTGCAAGCACTTTTTATGGGAAGAGGAAAAGTAATACTTTTTATCGACCACATTTTGTCTTGAAATGCTGTTGGCATTTTAATTATAAGACTCTTATGAACACGTTAAAGTGTTGTTTGAGTTGTTTTAAGTGTATTTGAGCCTGTTTAAAAAATGTAGTGGGATTTCAAAAAATTTTTTGGAGGAGTCCAATTACTTCACATAGATTGGGGAATGTCAAAATAAATGTGATTGGACAACATTTTTTTCCTGGTAGTCAGGAGGATATCACAGAGTTCAGAGTTCCAACTTAGATTTTGTGTTATTTCAAGTTTCATTTCAAGAGAGCAAAAGCATTCGAAGAGATCAAAATAACATTTCAAAATTGGTGGCAAACTCATCCTTGCAAAAACTGCCTGTTATTGACTACACCACACTGTTGCAGCCTTCATTTGAAATGCATTTTTCTCGGCCTTTACTGCAGCCTCCTTCAGTTTTTACAAAGGTTTCTGGAGTTTCTCCCTTCTACAGCAGGTAAAATGCATGCCATATTGGGTTGAGATCCGGTGATTGACGAGGCCAGTCTAAGACCTTCCACTTTTTCCTCCTGATGACGTCCTTTATGTGTTTTGGGTCATTATCGTGTTGCATGATGAAGTCTCTCTCAATTAGTCTGGGTGCATTTTTTTTTCTGTAAATTGCCAGACACAATGGTTTTGCAGACTTCAGAATTAATCCTGGTGCTACATGTAAGATTAGATTTTCATTATTTAAATTTTATCCCTTTCAAAGTAAATCAGCAAGGAGGAAGGAGGGCATCCAAGCATCCTTTAATGATGAGCCGAGCCTCCATTGCTTTCAAAGACTGTGTCTGCCGGTGAGGTTTTGCGTTCCCAAAAGTTATATCTTTGTTTGAGACAACAGAGATACACTAAATGAATCCATTTTATTCATCAACAACTGTGTTCTATACAGTATATCCTGCGGATCCAAAAACAGATATAGGGGAGACAAGGTCTTGATGTTACACTTTTTACACTGAGATATTTCTTGGGATCACATATCAACAAATTGTGTACCAGATGAAAAACCTAACTGGAAGATCCATTTATAAACACTCAAACATATTCTGACAAACGAACAAAACAGGATAACAATGTGGACCGGCATCGCCGTAAAAATAGTATGAAGATGTTTGTCTTTCTGATCTAATTTGATAATAATATTCATGACAGGGATCAACTGCTATGACAATTTTTGGTATGTTCCTAAACATTACATAAAAACCCTCCTGATTCTATGACCCCTTCATTATTACTAGTTGGTACAGGCCACAATGTCTACTATCACTCACCCTGTCTCTAAGCTGCACAGTGTGCAGGACTGTGTGTGTTTGTGAGGGTAAAAAAGAGAGAGGACGGTGGGGGGCAATAAGGATGCAAGCGTGAGGCAAGTGTGAGGCAGTGTGAGGGCAACCTAGAAAGAACGACGGGGGTTGGGAATCGCAAAGGGGAGAGGGCTCAGGAAGAGCAGGGGGAAAAATCCCCCGTGTAATTGGAATAGCCTGGTGCTAAAGTGTAGAGATGCAATGACCGGATGATCTGCTACGACGTGCACCGGCATCCTGACCTGCAGCCTTGACAGGAGGTGACAAGACAAATTGATACCCGCCACAACATCACGGCAAGATGTCATCTTCAGGGTCAACCAAACCCAACAAACGTCTGGCGTGTAAGTAACTGACTGATATTGTTTGATTTGAATTGGGGATGATGTTGCTTAATTCGAGCTGTATTACATTTGTATATTCTCAATACTTCTTCCCTCTGTAATGAATATATCTCACCATTTCCTCTAATTGAGCTGAGGGTAGAGTACATGTTTGATTACTTTATTATGCCTGTTCTGAACATAAACAAAGAACCAGTTTTGCCTATGAAAATATTTCTGCTGAACTAAGTGACATGCAGTGTGCACAACTGCGGCTGGGTGGGTTTGATGTGATGCTGCCGCTTTCCTAGAAATGTATTTGAAAAAAAATTGATTACACTACATGAAGTGGAAATTCAATAATTCACACACACACACACCCATATATATATATATATATATATATATATATATATGTGCACTTTCCAACTATGTTTGTCTTGATAGGAACACGACCTACATAGAATGTAAGAGGCATAACGTCTTGCTTTCTGAGTAAACTCACCAGAGTCGTAGTGTTAAAATGTCCTTTGAGTATTATTCTATTGTTGGTATGCAATGGGGCAATATAATTAATGTGGACGGTAGCGTATCATACATAAACCCAGTGGAGCTTTTACCAGAAGTCCTCCTTTTTTCATTTGGAAAGCTGTAGGAAATAGTAGGGCTCTTTGCTCCATTTAGATGGACTTAATGGCTTTGGGAATGTGGATGGAGGTGGCCTGGGAATACACAATATGATTGCACGGCTGAAGATGCAATCACAGCTTGGGGTTGCCGGGGACATGGAGATGGAGACAAAGAGCAGTGGAAGTATTTTTACGCAGATAATTGTTGTTTACATTCAGTCAAACTTTGAATATGGTGATTCACAAATGTGCTTCATGTGTAATTCCTGCAGGATGACCCCATCCGAGGCAGACTATGCATATCAAGAGCAGAGTGACCCCTATTTATTGATTAATACACAGTCTGTGTTTACATGGAGGAGTGATTGGTGTTGGGCGTCGAGCGGTATCGTGGCAGTAGTGGTGGCTGCTGTGCACGGTGCAATGATCTCACACATAAATGATTTAGGCTTGATGGTGTACATTGGCTGCTCAGCCAAAGGAGGGGAGTGATTGGCTAATAGCAGTAGTACCTAAAGATGATGAGGCTGTACACTGCCGAGAGCTGAGTCTCACCCGCACTAATCCCTTGGGGAGAAATAGAAGCTGCAGTCGGTCATCAAGGCAGAAAAGAGCTGGAGATAAATGAGCTGTCAAATGTGACTGCTCACGGAGTGGAAGTACAACCTCTCTCCCAAATAAAAATACTGTCTCTTTTCCAGGAAGACACAAAAGCGATCATGGGATTTCCTCCCACTCATCACAAGGGGACTGAAAGCCTTACCATGTGACTGTTTGGTTCAATAGGAACGTTTGTTTGATGCTTGCAGTGCAGTTCCTTGGTCTCTTGATCTATGAGTGCACCATTAAAACGACACAGAACATCCAATGATGCGTGGAGCTAACTGTTTTCATCACAAAGAGCAGCCAGAGACAAGAGAGAGACACCAATACACACTGAATGCTCAACTCAACAATTAGTTACTCTGCATGACAGTGGATGAGACACATTGGACCCCCCCCCCCAAAACAAAACAAAAATTCAAACATAATCAGTTATGCAAGAAGTTTACATATTGAACCACATTCCTTGCATTGTAAATTACTGACAGCCAGATCACAACAAAAGGGCCAAGATGATAAGGGGATTTAAGTAAATGAAATTAAATTTGTCATTGATATGTTTATATCCTGTGAGTATCACCTGTAATAACAAAAAAAAGCTGCATACCTCTGTTTTATTCCTCTGAATGTGAGTGATTGAAGACCAGCAAGACCCAGTCAAGCACTGACATCAAATCACTGACATAACATTTTCATTTAATTGAGAAGAGGTCAGATTATATAAATCTCCAGAATGATAGTAATGTCAATTTCTCTTTCTCTTTCGACAAACATGCGTGGAGAAGGCAGTAGGTCTTGCACTGCGATGCACTACGGAAGGATGCAGCTGAAGAACTGTGCGAGCATTACATAAGAGCAAGCCTAAGGCTATTATGATTCACTGTGGGCTTAGACAGAGAAGAAATTTAGAAGCCATTGGCCCTGTTTCGATCACAAGTGTCATGGAAATTCTCGTAAAATAGATACGTAGTGTAACAGAGCATTACAATAACACAACTGTAGCGTGTCGATGTTGAATGACAAACTGTATCAAAAAATCATAAAACAGTTTGAGAATATGTAATTTTGTTGTTGTTCTGTTTATTTTAATATGTGAAAATACGAATCCATAGCTGCTAGACTGCAAATACATTTCAATCTACAAGTAATTGAGTACTGTACAAATGGAACATATTTAATGTTCAAACAGATTAACTTTTTTTTTCATATATTAATTTATATTGAATTTGATGACTGCAAAATGTTCCAAAAAAGCTGGGACAGGTATTTTTCCCTATCCTTGATTGCCTTACAAGTTTAGTTGCTCAACTCTTGTCGTATTTTGTTTTTGCATAAGGTGTCACAAATTTTCAATGGGAGACATGTCTGGACTGCAGGCAGGCAGTCTAGTACCCGCACTGTTTTACTATAAAGCCACACTGTTGTAACATGTAGAATGTTGCTAGACATTGTCTTGCTGAAATAAGGAGTGGGGTTGGCTTGGATAGCAGCATATGTCACCCCAAAACCTGGATGTGGATTTCAGCAATTATGGCACCTTCACAGATGTAAAAGTTACTCATGGCATGGGCACTTGGACAGATTTACAAAGTTACTGTGGTCCTGTATGGTGAGCAAACTTTTTGATGCATCTTTACATTAAAGCAATCGAGACTTGAAGCTGGTGATTTTCCCTCACGTTCTGTTGTCCCAATTTGTTTGTTTAGATAAAATCAAAAATTTACTGAAATCCACTACATTTTGTGACGAAGACGGCAATCGCTGATATTGGAGATGTAATCATTTTAATGTTGATGACATGTCATGACAAAATACAAACAGAATGTGGCTTGTTGCATACATCCATACACTTAAACTGTCACACTGCACACCCGTTTCTTCGTCACGTCCTTTAATATGCTGATGCACTTGAACTACACATTTAACTTTGACAGCAGCCATCCCAGCTGTTCACTCTTCCTTGAGCCAACACACTAAATCCTTTCCATGTGACCTGTGTTTCATAGCTCAGTTCAGGATAAAGCAGCAGCCTAACAAGGACGGAATCTGTTGTGTCCATGAACAAGAAAGACTCAAAGTGCATTCCAAGGCAATTGGTGCATTTACTGGTACTCAAATTCATTTATTAAATAGCAATACTCTTAGAAAACATTCGCTCCAAGGGCAACAAATATTGTATCATTTACATTATATGTCACAGGTGTCAAAGTCAAGGCACGGGGGCCAGATCTGGCCCACCACATCATTTTATGTGGCCCGTGAAAGCAAATTAAGCATGTCAAGTTCCATGATGCTTGCTAAAGTCTGAACCAAATTCATAACGGCCCTCCAAGGGAAACCATATCTACAATGTGGCCCGCAACAAAAATGAGTTTGACACCCCTGTTATATTTGAATATGAAACTATTACATTTATGTAACCATGCTAACCATAGTAGAAAAAAGTAGGATATACTATTGTTTTATTTTAAAAGAGAATTAACAAAAACAACATAGCCCAGATCAGGGTTAGGACAAATTCAAATTATTCAAGATCCAGTGGAGGGGGTTTGATTTTGTTCCCAAGACAGTTTGGGCTCTATTTTTTGGGTGCAAGTGTGGCGCAAGGTGCAGTCTAAACCTGAGTAGAGGCAGGCTAGACTAAGTTTTGGTATTTTCACAGACCTGTGAAAGCTGGGACAGTGTGGCACATTTAAAAAAGGGCATTTTGCGCCATAGTGGGCATAAACACAGCGACTTGATTTGCTATCAATCAAAGCGGCTCCTCTCATTCCCTGTAAATTTGGCTTGTGAGAAGTATGCTGATCATCCTTGGCATAGCAGAAGAATAAACTGATTTTCTCATGTCCTGCAGCAGGTCGAGGCGCATGAAGTACATTTACAAGGAAATGCAAGCAGACCTCCATGGGTCGCTGATATAAAGTTGGCTGGGGAGATCACAGATCAGTGAAGTGAGCGCTTGGAGACCTCCTTCCACCTCGATCTTATGTAATGCATTGGTTTGTGACCCCGCCCTCCAACTCTCCATAGCTGTGCCAAGAGGGGTAAAGGAGAGTCTCTGTTTTCAGCTACTAAATCAGGTGCGTTGGCTTGGCGTGTCAGAGGAAACAGCCTCGGTACGCACAGCAATGCGCAGAGGTGATAAACTGATCTGCAACACATTTAAATGAAATGGGGAAAAAGACATAAACGTTGAGCGTATCACAACCCTCAGAGAGATTCATTTACACTCCTGCAGTAGGGCTGACTAACACAGGGTGAGCACTATTTGTCTTTGGATCCCAATCAAAGGTAGAAAACCACTTAACTTAATGATTCCGCAGAGCCACATAAGGCTCACTTGCAGTTAATAACCTCGGTCAGAAACCTATTGGATTCCACCATGACGGCTATGAACTAGGGTAGCGTTGAGCAAGGTAACGTTAGCCCAATGGCACCTCCCACATGTCTTGCGGGATGGCTAAAAACACAAGAAGTTAATAGTTATATGACTCACCCTGCTGCTTGCTTGTTTACCTGCAAGAAAATGACACAGATGAAAGCATGTAGAGTATCTAAAGTGATTTTTAAATGTGAGAATGTAAAAGTATTAATTCAGTTTCAATTTACGATGTCGATCTTTAGCTGCTAAGCAATCATGCTCACATTTGATGGTGATCAATGGATTTAGAGTGGCACTAAGAAACCCGGTTGGCATGTTGAGGCGGTTAATCAAATTTAACTTTTGTGGTTGTAATTTACATTTTAATTAGAGGTGCTTAGAGTCCTTTTGGTGCCCACGTTTAGCAATAGATTACAACCAGAATGCTTGAAATGAATTGCTTTAAATTAACACTGCTGTGTTAAAGAAATAAGGGTGAATTACGTTTTGCTCCAGCAAATGACTCCACAAGTGTAGGTGTACCTATTACTATGGAAGATGAATGGAAACATGACCACGATGGGGGGTGATTGATGAGAGTTGAGATAAATGTTGTTGTCATGAAAGAATATAAAATATTTGAAAGTACGGAAGATGAATTGAGACTCACAGTGACTTCAGCATAGTACCTCTCAAAAAGGGTTGCTCTCATTATAGCATATAATAATAATCATCATCATGTTCATCATCATCATTATTATTATTATATAAAGACCTTAGAAGTTGATAGAATAACTCATAGGCCCTGTGTTTAATCATAATGAAATTAATGGATAAAATTGTTGGCGACAGCTAAAAAAAAAAAAGAACAACAACAACAAAAAACCCCCAACTTCAAGAACCGAACATCCAAGAAGAAAAGACTGTGAAGCACAGATAATGAGTATGGTACACTAAAGGACTAATATAGTAACAGCAGTGGACTCAAAAAGAACCCTGCAGTGAGGAACAAAAGTATGTCACATTATCTATCTGGTTTTGCAGAAATGTAGAAACCGTACATGTAGATGAAGTAAAATGAATTTTGATAATGGTTCAAGCAGCATCCCTTTGCTTGACATGCAAGTCATTCATGGGCACTCATTCAATAAGCATGAACGTGAACATACACTAGTGCACACATTCAATACAATACAATACAATACAATACAATACAATACAATACAATACAATACAATACACTACATCCTGATTTACTGTATATCGCGCTTTCACAACAGCTGCAGCTGAAACAAAGCGCTTTACAAAACAGTTAAGTAAATTAAACACAACACACGATTCAGACGTGATCACACACATACACAAATGCGCTTCTGCAAGGACGAATAAGAGCACTGGTGACATGAGTCAAAGTGTCAGCCCATGCAGCCCGGTGGGCGCAGGCCCAGTGTGTCGAGAAGAATCCAGCACAGTTACACAACCAAACCTGGTCACTTGGGCAAAGCATCATACCAAAGATGGACCTTTGGACAATGGATATAGAAAGTCTACACACCACTTTTCAAATGCATGGGTTTTGTGATCTAAAAACATTAGGCCAAGGAATCATTTCAAGACATTTTTCCGGCTTTCATGTGACATATAACCTGGACAAGTCATTTAAAAAAATTAAAAAGATTTGATTGTGTACACTGTCTTATAACCGGTGAAGTGGTTGTGTTCAGAATGAAGCAATCACATTCAAGCAGGAGTCAGAAGACACCTCTCACTATTTAAAGTGCTTCTGCTGAACCGCAGATAAAGTTCAGCTGTTCTTGTGTTTCCTAGCATGTGTTGAATTTGCCTACGAGCAGAATCCTGGAGGTTCGGTGCTGACCCTAACTTGTATTTGGAAGTGTTTATAACATGCCCCACTTTGTCTATGGCACCAGGGTAGTGATCCTGGACAAGGCATCCTACCCATAGCAAAGACATCAAAAGAAAAATGGACATTGTTGTCCCATGAATTAACTAGCCAGCACTAGCCAAAAAGTCCTGAAACTCCTTTGTTGTTGATTTGATGCTGCGGAAGTTCTTTACAGACAATGACTTGTGCTGTAAAACGGGACGACAAAAACGTCAGTAAAAGCATACTAGAAAATCTGAACTTTATTGAAGCAGATGCAAATGCGTGTGTGTGTGTGCGCCGTGTGTGTGTGTGTGTGTGTGTGTGTGTGTGTGTGTCTCTCTTTCTCTCTCTCTCTCACAGAGAAGTTGGAGTCATGCCAAATGGTTAAGAAGTGGACAGGTTTACAACTTCCAACATAAATGAGATTGCAAAATTCCATAATTATTCCAGACTTCTCAGTCTGCCAAATACTGTGATTGTATAGGTCAGAGGTTTAACGCTAGTTGAGGTGTACAATTAGAAGGGATTGAAGGATGACATGTCGGTCTGCACCGGCGTGGAGTGAAGGACAGTTGCGTCCACAAAGTCCACTCATGCGTGATCATTGTCCACCTCACAGGGCATTAACCCCACTTACACCACGCTCTCTTGCCCACGAAAAGAATTCATTAAACGACCTGTAGTAGCAACTTCGTTTCCTTTTGACACTACGTCAGAAGGGGATGAAATTCACAACTCTTGCCTTATGCCAACAAGCTTTGCATAATCCAACAACAACAACAACAAGGAAGAACAAGGCCATTGTAAATTTAAAAGATGAAGCCAGTGCGTTGATTTTACATTCATCTCTTTAATCACAAACATTATAAAGGCATTACAAATACAACAAAGTGCAAGGTCAGAAAATTTGCTGGTCCGTGTCCTACTTGTTCCTCTTATCTTCTTTACATCAAGACCACATGGTATGGCATTGATAAAACCATTTTTTATTATTACACATACATCTGGGATATTGATATGTGTAACACATCAACATGAGAGCATGCTTTTTGTTCGGGTTTGCAATATTGAGTTACAGCTTGACTTGTTGTCATTGTTCAGCGGAGACAGACAACTCCCAGAGAGTGTTGGACAACGATTCTACGCAGCATCTGAAGCTGAGGGAGAGACAACGCTTTTTTGAGGAGGTCTACCAGCAAGATGTGGATAACTACCTGCCCTCAGCTCACCTGCAGATTGACAGCAGAAAACGTGCGTGACAGCGGCAACTTTTACAACAAGCTGCATTAGTATGCTAGTTGTCATTCAACCAATAGAACATAGATTAATGGATCCATGTACGTCACCGTGTGTCTCACGCGTCACAATGTTAACGCTTCATAAAATAGTTTGTGTTTGCAGCCCCCATGGGAAGTATCTCATCTATGGAGGTGAACGTAGATGCGCTGGAGCAAATGGACCTGATGGACATCTCCGACCAGGAGGCCCTGGATGTCTTCCTCAACTCCGGATCAGCAGGAGATGAGGGAGACATATCATCCCCTTTACCAGGTGCACAGACCGCAGCTAACACATCCATCCATCCATTTTCCGATCCCCTTATCCTCGCAAGGGCCGTGGGCGGTGCTGGAGCCTATCCCAGCTGTCTTCCGGCAGTAGGCGGGGAACAACACCCTGAACTCTTTGCCAGCCAATCGCAAGGCACACATAGACAAACAGCCATCCACACTCACACTCACACCTAGGGACAATTTACAGTGCTCCGTTAACCGGCCATGCATGTTTTTCGAATGTGGGAGGAAACCGGAGTACCTGGAGAAAACCCACGCAGGCACGGGGAGAACATGCAAACTCCCCACAGGAAGGCCGGAGCCGGAATCAAACCCACGACCTCTGCATTGTGAGGTCTATGTGATAACCACTCGACCACCGAGCCACCAATAACAACGCACTTCCTAATAAATCTGTTATTGTTCTGTCGAGACAAAAAAAAAAATCATTCTAAAAACTTTTTTTTAAATTGATCCAAGACAAAAAACAACTTTGGAGAAGCATGTTTTTGTTACATTGTGAAAATTGCTGTTATTATTCAGTACCAGCCATTTTCAGACACTTTTTTTACCCTGAGTCTTGAAAAAAAAATACCTGGGATTTAATGTGTGAATTCTGAAAAGACATATAAATATGTCTTAACATGAAACATGTTGCTGGTATCTGCTGAATCCATATACCCAGCTTGGGGGCTACTGCCCCCAAACACTAGTCAGTGGCACCACTATTGCCTTGACCCTTCGCATTTTCTCTCGTTCTTCCTTCAGTCCTTGGTATTCCTCAAATCTTGTCCGGATGTTGCTATCATCCGGGATTCCTACATATATCCCAACTGCTGACTTCTGATACTTTTGCAGCATCGCTATGTCAGGCTGGTTTGCTATCACCAGTTTGTCAGTCTGAGGTGGTAAACGAGATTGGACAGGCACTTTGAACAGCGTTTCTTTACAGATGGGGACGACGAAGACGAAGACGAGGCAGACGAAGAGGCCGAGGTTGTCTACAGGGTGTGTCCACCGTTGCAACGGCAAAGCGAAGTCCAGAACGGATCCAAGTCTCGCATGTCATCGACATCGTCGGGCTCCAGTGATACTAGCGGGGGCGGAGCAGACACGCCTGTAATCCAGTCAGACGACGAGGAAATCCACGCTGATACCCAACTGCTGACCTCTGTTCCCCATAATGGAGATGAAGAAACAGAGGATGAGGAAGAGGAGCAAAGATGCCTTCCGACTAAACCTTCACAAAGACTGAATTAGTCACAAGCGTTTTCCTCTTACTGTCGCATTACATTTGCTGAGAAACCCGAGCATGATTCACCTGCTGTGATTTGTCCTTTGAATATTTGTCTCTATTTATGCAAAATTCTTTATACCTTCACATATACATTTTTTTTCTCTCTTTGTTAATGGAGGGGGAAAACTGTCAGTTGAAGTTTGTGGTCTTTATTTCTTGACATTTAACACAAATTATACAGTAGGAGTTCGTCACAGCCCACACATTTAAATGTTGTGGCTGCTTGCTGCCTCAGGAGAACGGCCCTCCTGCTCACTTTGACTTCAAACGAGGTACCAGATAGTCAAACAAGAAAGCTGGATGAAAGTGCATCTTCACTTTGCAGAGAAACAAACATTTTTAAAAAGGCATAAAAACCCATCTGTGGGCTGTCCTTTAGGGATGCAGACATGCCTAATAGAAAGTCATAATAGATTTAAATCTGAGGACAAATATTCTGCAGGGTGCACTGGCTGAAACAGCTCCACTGTGGTCAAAGTTGACAACTTCATTCTCACGCCTTAGTCGTAGCAGCTTTTATGTGGCAAATCAAACAACCACAGCAACTGCAAATCTCCAACTTTGAAAGGTATGTTTCCTTCACACACGGAGTGATTTAAATTTTGTTTCGCCGACTTTGCTATTGCATCGCTTCTAAATTGCTGCAAAGAGCAGTTATTTTTTTCTAAAATCCCTAAAAGGTTTGCATGAATTTCTGATTGCCACTGTAAATATACAGGTAGACTTGTACACAAAATTATTTTTTCAATAAAACTTCGTGAAACTCAACATTGAAATCGTTGACAAAACTATGCGGCAGCTCTTTCAGGTACACTTGGCCATCGTTAATGGAGGACATAAGGGTTCTGCAATGTACACAATTGGAGAAATCGCAGCAAAAGACTCTGTTAATCATTACAGCAGTTGTACTGTGAGAAATGACAGAAATCATAATGTAAATTTGAGAAGGTGTGTTGGATGCTTGGCAGGCACTGACTTTTTTTTTCCTCCCTTAGATTTTAAACTTTTAGTGACACACCACATTACGGCAGGCAACGCATTTGAATTGAAAAGACCAGATTTTCCTTTGGTATATCCATCATTTTGCTTTCTGCAAAGCAACCTTCATTCATTGTGGCTATTATCTGGTTTGAAATTGAAATCCAGCGCAATGTGTGCGATGCTGTTGTAACATCAGAAAAAAAAGAATTAATCAGCTGATCATATCTAATATTTAATATCTGCATGGTTTTACATCTCTGCCACAAATTTGAAACCTGCCCCCTGCTGTGTCCACCAACTTCACAACAATATTGTATTTAACTGTGAGGTGCAAATGTTGTGCATCTGTTTATTGTATTAAAATCCCCTTAAACAATCTTCTGAAACTAAGCAAGTACCCATGAACACGTTTTATTGAGTGGTAAAACCTGTTTTTTTCTGTGTGCGCGAGCAATCTATTTACACTATGACACATGTGCTTAAGTTGTGAATGCATGCCTTGTATGACGATATGTCTTTTTGTTGCGCAACATCATGTTGTTGCAAGATTTGACTCAACCATCACCCGTTATTAATGGCTAAGTACTGAGCCGGACATGTTGTCCCTCTCCCCTTTGTGAAATTACTTTTAAAAAAAACAATAGCAAAGTGTGTATACGTTTGAGTGGGTGTGGGAGAATTATGGAACTGGAGAGGTTGACAAACTGCAAGGCTGACTGTGCTTCTTGTCCATACATTGCCATCCATCAGAATAATGGAGAAAATGTGAGCCATTTCTTGACTGCGCCGGTAATATCTGGTACATCTTGTGCATTTACTGAAGGGAGACTCGATGCCACGCTACAGCAAGTATGTGGTTGTGGATTTGAAGATACAATTTGTACGATACGATGGGTATTCATCTCAGCAATTTTATGTGGATGCTGTTTCCTATTCGAACATTTTGTTCTCGTATGAATAAAAATGACTGAAATTTAAAATGCAAACACATATTTTGACATGAAATACTCTCTCATTGCTTTGTTTTCCTCTTGTTCGGTTCTGCTCTCTTTTGATATTTTCCTGCTTCGAACAGCCTTTTCCAAACACAGTAGATGCCTTCAATGCATGGTATGCTATAATTTGCCACTCACTAGCATGTTCGTTCTACCTGCTATACTTAGAGAGACATGGAGGTAAAGGGCTCGCATGATCATGCAGTAAAAGACCAGGACTGACCGCCATTTTGTTGACTTTGGCGTCTAGTTATACGGGTTGTACAGGTTTGTAAAGCTATCGTTTTATGATCAATTGTCACCAACAGTATTATCAGCGCTATTGCTTCCTTTTAAAGGGTTGTTTTCCCTCCACAAAGGCATGAGGCAGATATCCTGAGGTTTACACTTGGAGTTATAGTGCACAATTGGCAAATATTATCAATAAAGGGATCCATATGATCTTCATAACACATAAGTAGCCCAGAGCCTGCTTTAATGTCTCGACCAGATGGTAACCTCCCTCCCGAGTGTAAAAGACACATTGCCAGTGATGACTTTTGAAGCAACGGCACAAAGCTTATATTTTAAGTCAAGCTTGGGCGCAAACTACTGAAGCGAAATCTATGCTTTTGCCATGCTTTAACCTAACTCAGTTTTGTTCACCGACGAACGTTTGAGAGAAACTGTAAGACATGCACTGTAAGTTGAGAGCTATGTGCTTTAGGTGCAGTTTATTTCAACAGAAAGTGGCAGCTCTAGAGTTCATTGCCTGCAGATCAGTCTTGGAGCAATGTTTTTGAAAGATTCAAAATGAAAACCAGAGCTGGGGCTCCAATATATTCTATGTTTGTTTGGCTCAGGAAAATTGTGATTTTTGTGGGAGGGGAAAAGTAAAGGGGTTGCTAGATCCACGAACAAACCAGTCAAGCAGACATAAAGTTTAACAATGTTCAACAAGTGACTCAACATGCATAATATATCACAGCAAGTAAAAGCTTGCATCTCTGTGAGCATAATTGTTTTACACGAGAACTATCTGAACTGATTACGTTAGTTCCTGGGTAATGTTCGTAAGGCTGGGAAATGCAACTAAACAATAGCATGCGCAGATCTATGGCTGGCACCAGGTTTGTTGTCACTCAGCCATGGATGTTATTTTGTGCACTGGGTGACTGTTCGCTGTGACAACAAAACTGTTCTCACGAAATTGGACGCATTGAATTGTCCGAGGGTGTTAACGCTGATACTTGGGCCGAGATTGTTGCGCATGGCAGGGTGTTTTGATTCATTGTGCGTTGAGGTTATTTATTTAATTTTGTGAAGGGGCGGCAAGGAAATTCAAATTAGCCAAACTGTTTCATGCACATTTGAACAGAATGTGGATTGGGGATTTATCATTAATATTATTTATTTGCTGTTTCAGTCACCATGATGGGAATGAAACGGTGCACCTAAAAATGAAAAAAGGCACCGTCCATCAATTTGTAACATTCACGCAACCTCCATTAAAAAAGGGGAAAAACAAATCCGCAAATATGCAAATCCACCAGTGCCGAACTGCGAGTACGTGGGTGTAATCATTACTGACCATATCAATCATACCCGAGCATTATTATCTGCATATTTTTTAATTGGAGCTCATCAGAATGTCCACTCGGTCATAAAGTTGTGGCTGGTTGGTGTATGTGTTGGAGGTTAACATGATCGGCATTCAGTTGATGGGAGGCGGCAGTGTTGAAGTGCTTCCTGAGAACTGTGCCAGATGAGCCCATTAAGCAAACTGCTGCAATCTAATTACACAGTACAGTTAAATGTAGGGACTACATGCAGCTGCTGGCTGTACAGTATATTCTTTAAGCCTCTTGGACAACTCACAGCAGACAAGCCGGGCTTCACAATCAAACTCAACTCTGTATGTGGACTCATGGCTCTTATTCACAAGCAGATTCAGTATTTGCGTGTTTGCAGGGTTGAATGTGATGCCGGATTGAACATAAAAATATGTCACCTGAGCTGACCCGAATGGGGTACAGCTGAGCCGAGAGCATTGTTTCTTAGAAGTCAAGTAGAGCTCAGTTCACACATTTTCTCAGATAGGAAAACTTTAAACATGCATACGCCAAAACATAACTCCAACTAAAGGTGAGTGTACACAGAAAGATTCCGCAATACGGTGATATGTGAACAAACACTCCTTTGTCATTGAAGTCAAGCGAAGCGACTGGCTGCCTGCAGGCGTCGTGTGCTCTCGTGTATCAACGCTGTTAACAAGACAACCACAGAGGACATCAAGCAGGGAGGATCAGGATGAGGACCTTTTCCATGCTTGTGCTGGTAGGCATGAATTCTGCCTTTTCCCTTCTTACAAAAGTACTGACCTCTGTGAAGTCCAACTGCGTTCAATCACCGTGTATTTGTTCAGAAGGCTGTTCTTGCAATACCGCACTATTGTATGCAGCCTTTGTTGAAAATGTACATAGTCCCACAAATCTTAACATTTGGACAACAGTATTTCAATCAAGAGAAGAAAAAACGTTGTGGGTGGATTTACTCCATTTTATTTTGTTACGTGGTTGCACTTAATGAAATCATCTGGATCCAGATGATTTGATTTTTTTTGCAGTATCGAGTTTGTTTGATGCTTAAAGAATGTAATTGAATTTAATTAAATCTAATTTGGAAATCCGATTTCCTGCATTTGGGCAATTTCACTTCTGTGTGTGCATGACAAGCTACATTTGAATTAAAATGAACAAATTTCAATGTGAAATTCGATGACTTTCATGTTTTTCCTTGAACAACTCAGAATAGACGACAAGCATTTGAACCTTAACACACATGGAGGGTAAATAAATATATGATCCTGTTCAAATATGTAACAATTGTAATAAAAATAAGATGACAAGTGAAAGACACGTATGGGGAAGTGGAGAGGGAAGATTACTGAAAAAGTTACTTAGAATACAAAATGCATTTCACTTTGGCATAATAATCCATCAAACAATTTACTGCTGTGAAGAGAAAAATGTCAAAGCAATGAAAAGAGTCCTCACCTTAAAGTCTGATGGCAAATGACAGACGCTGTATCAAAAAGCTGTGCTTGCAGGGGGAAATTGCTATTTGTGTTCCCAAGGTGAGTCTTCAATACGTGAAAAATAACAGAAGCTTAGATCTCACTTTGCAGTGTACATTTGATTTATGAGCATTATTTTTAACTTATTTTAGGATGAAGACTTGCATCTCTTTCTTACATCGCAATACATTCAAATTGGGGTACTGTGGACTTCATTCACTTCCTCCTTTGTCTCCTCAACACCGGTACCCGTCTGCGGCGGTGTTACAAAAAAGAAAGGCGACATACATGTTGAGCGTTTTAATCTGATCACTGAACTGAAGCCGCACAAGTTGTAATAAAGTCTCAAGATTTGTCTTGTGTGACAGTGTTTCAACCTCTGAAGAGCTTTGTGACGTAAAATGCGTACTTTTCCAGAATAGTTTGGTCAAATTTCCAATTGCACAAACTATGGTGCATGTAACTTCTACAATTGAATTTTTTTCAATGTTTTTTTTTTCTTTCCATGCTCAACTCTGCAACACAAAAATTTACACTTTGGCAAAGACAATCACAAAGCATTGTTGTTGATGATTAAATAAATAATGAGCGCACATTATTACAGAATTAACCTTTGCGGGAAATGAATATGTTAGTGCAACAATATGCAACAATACTTAATTTTTTTAATCACTGCTCAACACTGAAGCACATTGATGAAAAGGTCAAGCCACACCATATGAAAAAAAAAACAATCCAAGCCTATCTGCAGAAGTAGGAAGGTGTGTGGCCTGTTACATCAGGCGTAAAAACAACACAGCATTTCATGACAACACTCAAACATGGTGATGGCAGCGTGATGGTCTGGAGATGCCTGCTCCTACAGGACCTGGACAATTTGCTACTTGGAACTATGAATTCCGCTGTCTACCAGAAATTCCTGCAAGCAAAAGTCCGACCAGCAGTTCATGTGATGATGCTCAAGTGCTGCAGGGTTATTGAGCAGGACAATGACCTCAAATACAATCTCTAAATGGCTCACAAAATGAAAAATTTGGGGTGGCCAAGTCAAAGTCCGGACATATATCCAGTTGAGATGCTGTGTTAAAGTTAAAACAATTTGGCAAAGAATTGGCAAAATTACTCAGATAAATACTCTAATTAATTCCAAACTAACTACAGACTCATCAGAAGTTAACACAAAGAATTTCAGTTCTTGTGGTCAGGGGTGGCCAGAAATTAAGTCCAGGTTTGAATTTTTCATCCCTTGATAAATAAAATCTCCTGTATTTTAGTTTTACTTGGGTTGTATTTTTGAGATGTTAAAACTGTTTTGACGATCCAAAACAGAAAATTGAGATAAATATTCAATACAATTTGAAATCAGGATGAGGGGAAATCATATTTTAGTATCTATGATGAGGAGCAGGGATGCCCAATAAGTCAATCACAATCGACTGGTAGCCCGGGGACTGGTCTTAAGTCGATCACGAGGGGTTTGGGGGGGGGATGGAAAAAAAAAGAAAAGATTTGTGTGTGTGTGTGTGTGTGTGTGTGTGTGTGTGTGTGTGTGTGTGTGTGTGTATGTGTGTGTGGGTGTGTGTTGTTATTATCATATATCTTTGTGTTCGTGCACACTGCACCCTAAGCATCCTATCAGTTTCACTTTCACCCAAATAAATACATAAATAGATAATAATAATAATAAAAAAAATAATAATAAAAGTGGGTCACCTTTAACCTACGATGTTGCATTTTCTGAACCATTGAAAGTTGTTAGCGGTCAGCAGTCTGCAATTGTAGCTTGCGTTCAGAACTGTTTGCATTGTATCTTTTTTAAATGATAATTATTCTCATTCAAAGTTTGTTTCATTTACAATTCACCGATGGCTCTGGCAAAGAATGGGAAACTGGAGCACCGGTAACGGGTCGTTCACGGGAGGTTGGTTGCTAGAAAAGTAGATCTTGGGTCAAAAAAATGGTTGTGAAGAGTATTATTTTATTGTTACTACCGTGAATGACAACTCTTAATGTCTCACAAATAAAGGGAACAAACAGTTAACATTTTCAGGTGCATGAATGATTTTAAAGGTGAAATAAATGTTGAAGCTTTGACTGAGGTCTGTGACATATGGGTTCTCTTGTTCCTGTAGGCTTTAGTCACATCAGCAGTGGCCTCACAGAGAGGACACAACATCCAGCGTGACAAGCGGGTAATGTTTATGTTTTGGAATCCTCCTGCATGGAGCATGAATGGCTATTTGGTGTTTATCGTAAATGTATGTTCAACAGGACATTTTGGTCCGTTCCAAAAGAAGGTGGGTTTTGACTACAATTGAATTAGTTGAGGAAGACCCAGGGCCTTATCCGAAACTCGTATCTCAGGTGAAAACAAGATTTTGAGCAAACCAAATCAGCATACAGGTAGTCAAACCCAGCAGCTAGAGGCTCAACGGTGCTTGTTTTTCTCTTTATTTTTGCTCAGATATTCAATGACAAGACATATCAACACAATAATCACAAATATATTATAAGAGGAATGGGCGTGGACAAGGAGCCACTGGGCATCTTCTCTCTTGATGAAGGAAATGGGAAGATCTACGCCCATAAACCCATCGATAGAGAGACGCACAGCTTCTTCCACGTGAGTTCAAACCGCATCATAAATGTACTTAACCATTACCTTTACAATTATAAAATGGATTTATTCACAGATCAAGTTTGACATTTTGGACAAACAAACAGGAAGAGCAATCGACAGAGAATTAGCATTTGATGTTGCCATAAAAGACATCAATGACAATGCACCAAAATTTCTTCTTCCCCAAATGAGCGCTGATGTCAGGGAGGACACAGTCGAGGGTGAGTTTCTTCTTCAAGTCATTGAACACTCATATTACAGTAATTACATTCATATTATATTCATCTGTTTTTTTTTTTTGCCAAGGCTACCTGCCAATTAGGATAGAGGTGATTGACCCTGATCAAGAGGACAGCCCAAACTCGACAGTTACCCTGAGTGTGGTATCTCAGTCACCGCAGGTTCCGAAAATTGACTTAGACCAGATTGATCCCCGAATGGCTCAACTTACACTTAAAGGGTGTTTTGACTATGATGTAAGCGTCACAGATTTTTTTTTTTCGACATAGACACATGTAAGGATTTGTCCAAGTGACATACTTTTTTTAATGTCATGTTAATCATTGCAATTGTCATTTCAGAAGTTCAAAAAATATGAAATAACGCTTCAAGCAAAAGATCATGGAAAACCCTCCCTATCGTCAACCGCTGTTGTCACTCTCAATATTATCGACACCAACAGTCATCCACCAATTTTCAAAGCAAGGAAGGTAAGCATTCAAGCGATAAAACTGTGACTAATTATCTTTCTCCTCTGGCTGTCAATGTAGGCAGACACTTTTTTTTTCTCTGCTCTCTCCCTGTCTTATCTACCTTGGCTTGACGATTTCTGTCTTGCATGGTCTTTTGTCCAAAACGATCAACTTCGCTCCGAAATCCATCCATCCATCGCATTAATTTCCCGAAAACCTCGGGTGTAGGAAGAGTTCAATGAGGCCATGGAAGCTGACTTCCAAATGGCTTCGGGGAAATTCTGGTCCACCATCCATAATTGGTGATGAGTCTTTCACATCATTGTGGAGGAATTTTGGACCACTCTTCTTCGCAGAATGACTTCAACTCGACCATATTTTCTAGCATGAATTGTCCATTTCAGGTCACAGCACAGCATCTCAATTGGCTTCAATCCGGTATATTGACTTGGCCGCTCCAAAACGTTAATTTTATTTTTTGAGCCATTCAGAGGTGGACTTGCTGGTGTGTTTCGGATTGTTGTCTTGTTGTATAATCCAAGAGCACTTGAGTTTGAGGGTGCAAATTGTCGGACGTTCTCCTTCAGAATTTTCTGGGAGACAGCAGAGTTCATTGTTCCATCAATCACAGCAAATTGTCCTGGTCCTGATTTAGCAAAGCAGCCACAGACTATTACACCATTACACTGCTAACATCATGCTTCACTGTTGGCATAATGTTCTTTTTAGCAAATGCTGTGCCATTTTTTACCCCAGACATAACGGGGTGCACATCTTCCAAAAAGTTCCATTTTTGACACATTCGTCCACAGAATGTTTTTCCAAAAGTCTTGAGGATCATCAAGATGTGTTTTGGCAAATTTGAGACACACCTTTGTGTTCATTTTGGACAGCAGTGGCAAGAGAACCCAGATGTTTGGAACTCTCCCATGGATGTCATTTTGGCCTGTGTCTTTCTTATGGTAGATTCGTGAACACTAACCTGAACTGAGGTTGAGCGTTCTTTGGATGTTGTTATAGGTTGATTTGCGAACTCCTGGATGAGTCGTCGTGACACTCTTAGTGTAAATTTAGCTGGTCAACCACTACTGGGACTGTTTGACACTGTTACCAGTTTTCTCCATTCATGGATAATGGCTCTGACAGTGGTTTGCTAGAGCCCCAGAGTCTTGGAAATGGCTTTTCCACACTGTTAGATTTCAATCGTTTTTTTTTTCAATTTTCTCCTTGAACTTCTTTGGATCGTGGCATGACCGTTTATTTCTTGAGCTCTTGGAGCCTGCTTCACTTAAAAAGTGAAAGCGTTGTGTATGATGAATATACAAACAACAGAGAAATCAGGAACAGGGCAAATACTTTTTCACGGCAATGTATATACCCCTGCCACACCCCCTTCTGCCGTGCACCTTAATTATTGGATCAGGACTTTGCGAGGTAATATCCACGAGGTCATCTCCATGGCAACATGATGTCATGAGTCATCAGATGGCAGAGACGAATGGGTCGGAGTTGAGCGGAAGTGATGACTACAGGCTTACGCGTACAGAAGAAAGACTCACTTCAGATACACGCACATTACCTCCTCCTACGCAACGCCTTCCAAGATTCCTCTCCCTCTTACCGTCGTTTGTCATGGTGCAATGTGGTAGGCTGACACGATGCAGCCAATAGTGGCTGTTCCTCAGTGTCTGGGCTGCGTCATCTCCCTTTACTGACACCCCTTTCCACATGTGCAAGTGTTTGAGTTTTGTTGAAACAGGTATTTATTGTGTTACAGGGGTTTGATGAGGTGTTTTTTCCTCACCTTACACTGTGCCCCCTCCTCACAGGAGCATAGTTTGGGTCCTGTCCTCCCCCCTGTTAGGTGTCACTGTCTTTTTATGTTCCTTGGGTGGGTTGAAACTATAAAGTGAATTTCGTTGCTCTGTGGTTGTAATGTGCAGGGACAATAACATTTGCTTTTGGTGTCCATGGTAAGGCATGTTGCTTAACATGAAAATGTTCCTCCGGTCCAGTATCAGGGTGAAATTCCAGAAATGGTGACAAGGGAGAATGTTTTAAGGCTTGCGATAGAGGACAAAGACACTCCAAATACCCCCGGCTGGCGAGCCAAATACTTCATCATCAAAGGAAATGAGGAAGACAATTACAAAATTGAAACTGACCCTGACACTAATGAGGGTGTTCTGAGTGTCGTCAAGGTAATTTTATCACCCCCTGCCATATCTCACGATTCTTCATTCAACAGTGGCTGTACTACATCTGACTTTGTAATTGTGTGTCCTCTAGGGGAAAGATTTCGAGGAATCAGCTTTTATAAACCTTCAGATTGGAGTTGAGAATGAGGAGCCTTTATTTGCATGTAAAGATGCAGCACCCAAGATCAAAGGCATCTCTGATTCAATTAACGTCACAATCAAAGTGATTGATGTCAACGACCCACCTCAGTTTCACAAAGAGTCGGTTGACATCTATGAGAAGGAAGAGGAGGAGCCAGGAAAGTTGCTATACACTCCAAAGGTTCATGACGTTGATTCGGATGTTTCCAAAATTAGGTTGGTCTTTAACAATCAGACACCATTGCACTTTCAAGTTGTTGTTTTGTTTTTTGTTTTTTTTAACTGCTCATTGTCATTGCAGATATCTTGCTTCACTATATGGTATGGCTGGGTGAATACATTTTTTTTTCCTTCTAGTTTTGTCTTGTTAGATGATCCTGCTGATTGGGTGAGCGTTGATAAAAAAACAGGACATCTCAGAACCACTGGGAAGATGGACAGAGAGTCACCCTTTGTTCATGATAACATTTACAAAATAGTGATTGCTGCAGTCGATGATGGTACGAACAAAATACAAACCACTATTATTTGGTCTTTGGCGAAAACAAAATAAAAATCCCACAAAGTGACATTTTTTCCCTGTCGTTACCAAGGTAAGCCTCCAGCCTCAGGCACGAGTAGCATCTTGGTTCACCTTCTGGATATTAATGATAACAAGCCAAAGCTGAGATATAATAGTGTCACAATGTGTGGAAACAAAGTCATGCTTGCTGCAAAAGATCTGGACTTGCATCCTTACGGCGGGCCCTACACAGTCTCACTAAAGAGTGATGACGCAACCCAATTGCAGCGATGGAAAGTGGACCCTACCACAGGTAAACATCTATTGCTCCGTTCCAGTTTACAAACCACCACATACTTTGCTTTACATCCTGCACCAGGTGAGGAGGTTGGGCTAGTTAGCCTGAAGACACTTGCCTACGGCAATTACTCAGTGCCCCTCGTGATCGAAGACCAACAGGGCTTAAGCGGAGAGGATACAGTCATCGTAAGTGTGTGTGACTGCGAAGGAGGAAACGTGTGTCGCCATAAGCAGCCGCTCTCAACAAGTCTGGGACCAGCCGGCATTGGACTGATTCTTGCAGCACTGCTCTTATTTTTATGTGAGTACTTTCATATTTGGCTCCAACTGTGCTAATTTTTTTTTTAATTAAAAATCAGTCCTAGCATCAGATTAGAACACTACAGTAGCCTTTCAAAAAGAAGAGCCACTTAAAAAAAGTCACTGACTGGAAGTACAGTACAGCTGCATTTTGAGTTACAAGTTCAATTATTTAATTCGTTTTCCCAAATTAAGTGACGTCAAATATCATTAATCGAGTTCACCCCCGCCCCACCCCCCAAAAAAATGAATGAAAAGAAATACAGTGGTTTTATAAGTATAATTACAAGTCACATAAAAACACATGCAACACACTGATCAACCGGTTAGCACGTCCGTCCATCTCAGAGTGCAGAGGTGCAGGGTTCAATTGGTCTTCCTGTGTGGAGTTTGCATGTTCTCCTCGAGTGTGCGTGGGTTTTCTACGGGTACTAAGGTTTCCTCCCACATTCCAAAAAAATGCATGGCAGGTTGATTGGGCATTTCAAATTGTCCCTAGGTGTGATTGTGAGCGCAGTTGTTTGTGTGCCCTGCGATTTGCTGGGTTGAGGGTGTGCCCCGCCTACTGCATGAAGACAACTGGGATCGGCTCCGGCACGCCCGCGGCCCTTGTGAGAATAAACACATGAGAAAAAGGATGGATAAACACACATTTTAGTATTTGTGTAATGCATGCCTCTGAGGGGCTTGGCTTAGTAAATGATGTCAGGAGCTCAGATTCCAACTGGAGTTGGGCAGTTAGGTCAGGTTTCGTGTATATAGGACACACTTTGTTTCCCTCAGTCCATAAATCAGTCAGGGGATCGGGTTCAAAAAGAAACCCGGCTGTTCATGTTAAACTTGAAAATCCATTCATCCATTTTCAAATGTAATTCTACACCTTAGAAAAGGTTTAAGGAAGGTATGACTGTCTTCTAATGCACAAAGCATGGGAAAGAAAGGCTTTCTTAGAAGATGAGCATCAGAGTTCTGACCTCAACCCTACAAACCTTTACGATAAGCTGGAACAGAGAATGTGAGCCAGGCCCTCTTGTCGAACACCATTCACAGCTAACCTCGCAGATGTTCTTTCTGGATTGCTAAATAAAGAATTTCACAGACACACAGAAATCTGTTATTTCTTGGTTTTGGGTTCTTCACCTGTTCATGCATGGCTCCTTTGACAGCTAGTTTTTTAAAATCCTCTGTTGCATCATTTCTAACCAAGAAAAATGAAAATGACTGAATTTGCAGTAAGTTATGGAAATATGCAATATGCCACCGAGCAGTGTCAACGTGCCCACAAAGCTCCCTCGTTATAGTAAATCCCTGATGCTGGCACTGCATACGGTCTCATCTTTAAGCCACTGAGCATGTCCATACAGCCGGGTTGAGTTGAGGGGCATTGGTACGGCTGAGCAACATGTCCTTGGAATACATGAAATGCAGACCGTTTGCCTTTTGTCTTTGCAGTAATCTTCTTCATCTTGGTGTGCGAATGTGGGAAACAGTTCAAGCACTTATCCGAGGTCCAACAAGATGAGGGTCAACAGACCCTAATCAAGTATAACCAAGAAGCAGGAGGCGCAGAATGCAAGGTGTGCGTTGCAGGGTTTGACGACACAGACAATTACATTTGAGTGTACTGCGGCTTCTCGGTCATCATCGGCAATATTTGAATGGAGGCAACTGACTGGGCTCTTCTTAGTTGATGACGGCAGTTCAACTTCAGGTCAAAAGGCTTCTTCACTTCACGCATAGCACGAAAGAAGAGGTCCAGATTCAGTAGTTCATTTGCATCTCCAAAATAAGGTGAATTCCCCTGAAGAAAATAGCATCCACACGAAGAACATAACAGAGCCTTTTTGGAATGAAAACAGAAAAAAGTTGCCTTGATTCAACTTTTGCCAACAACTACTTTCTGTGTATGCATACTGTGTGTGGCATTGAGTCACTTATTTGATGATGTACCTCTGTTAGACGGTGCCACCTTTGCTGCTGACACATTCAAAGGAGTTAGATACAACTGTGACAAATGGGCTGAAGCAGAGAACGATGCAGGTATTGGCTCATCTCACTTTACTTTCTCATGAGTATCTCAGACCCCAATTATCGAGGTGGCTAACAATTCTCAGTTTTGTACTGTCGGGAATTTGGATCCCAGCTTCCTCAGTTACGCTATGGAGGACATTATCAAAATGTAATATGTATTTTCCTCACATACAAAACTTTTCTTCATGATAGTTAAACACTTTGTGAATTGAAAGCACAGAGCTGAACAAATAGTTCACTATCACCATCACCACTTCTCAAATATTTGCCATGTTCAATCACTCTACTACGCTTGTGGAGGCTCTCAGTCGTACAGGAAAGTTCCATCGTAGAAAGGGTTCTGTCAGTCGTCATCTGTACCTGTGGGTAAAAAACAAAAAAAACAAAAAAAAAAAAACAAAAAAAAAGCAAAAAAGGACGTTTCGCTTCTCTCACAGAAGCTTCGTCAGCGGTAGACAACCCTGAAGTCTCCGTGAAGACTCCGGGAAGTTGCTCTGCGCGAAAAGGTTAGCGTGGCCTGTTTGAGGACTGGGTGGGGATGGTTAGTCACGCCCCTATTGGTTTATTAGAATTAAAAAGTTCCAAAATTTGATTAAGCGCAAAGAACCCACTCCAAGTAAATACAGGGCCACGAAGAACATAACAGAGCCTTTTTGGAATGAAAACAGAAAAAAGTTGCCTTGATTCAACTTTTGCCAACAGCTACTTTCTGTGTATGCATACTGTGTGTGGCATTGAGTCACTTATTTGATGATGTACCTCTGTTAGACGGTGCCACCTTTGCTGCTGACACATTCAAAGGAGTTAGATACAACTGTGACAAATGGGCTGAAGCAGAGAACGATGCAGGTATTGGCTCATCTCACTTTACTTTCTCATGAGTATCTCAGACCCCAATTATCGAGGTGGCTAACAATTCTCAGTTTTGTACTGTCGGGAATTTGGATCCCAGCTTCCTCAGTTACGCTATGGAGGACATTATCAAAATGTAATATGTATTTTCCTCACATACAAAACTTTTCTTCATGATAGTTAAACACTTTGTGAATTGAAAGCACAGAGCTGAACAAATAGTTCACTATCACCATCACCACTTCTCAAATATTTGCCATGTTCAATCACTCTACTACAGAAATATATGTTACATGTGTCATTGGTCGATACTTGGTTGAATTGATGAATTGCACTTTTCATCGAGATGGCTAAGGTGGCTCCAGTAATGATTGAAGAATTGGATACTTACAACTCAGGGATGGTGAGTAACAAGGCAAGACTACTTCTAACACTGACCGATATTCGGAACTGTCATAACCACCCCACCCACCCTCATATTTTTGAAAGAAAACATAAAACTGCACATCACCCCCCCACCGCCCCCCAAAAAACAAAGGGGAAAACCAATTGAGTGAAGACTGAATGGCTGAATTATTGTTGCTTCCCTTTATTTCAGTATTCTGCATGGTCTGCAAACATGAACGCATATCAGGTAAGTGTGACAATAACAAGAATTTAAGGCTTCTTGGGCACAAATTATGATTATGTTCGTCGGAACACATTTTTGAAGTCTACGTTCCCATATTGCACATGCAACATCTAATTCCCTTTTACGATCAGGGGGGCTCGTTGAGGTATCAGCAGGCAAGCAGCTTGTTGACCAATCGCAACATTTCAGATCACCTCAACAGGGTAAGAGACATATTTGCATCACATCATGCTACAGATTCACAAGCCAGATGAGGACCCACACTGTAAAAACGGCACAACGGCATTTTAATTTGTGCGCCCACAGAGACTGCATGAGATTGACGGAAACCCTGTGGACCACCCAGAGTACCAACCACATAAGTACATGTACGAGGAAGAAGAGAGCGGGTGTCAGTCACTGGAGGAACTGTCCTTTAGCGTCTGTGGAGAAGATTTCCAGTTTATGAATGATTTGGGACCAAAGTTTAAGCACTTTGGCAGCATCTGCAACCAGCTCATGCAGGAAAAAGGCACACACGTTTAAAAAGGGCAACACTGGATATTGACTGTATTTGTTTCAAACGATTATTGGCAGCGTGGTCCAATCGCAATGTTGCTGCCTGGGGGGCAGATGATGTCACGGGGAGTGCTGGGAAGCTGGGTGCCGGTCGCTGTCAACATTGTTTTGCTGTACGTTTTTCCAAACAAGGGACCACCCATAAAATTTCTTTGACGTGTGGGGTGGTGTTTTATTTGTTTTATTGACAGGCCAAATATGTTTGGGAGCCCCTTGTAAAGTATTTGTCGGTGGGGGGGTGGGGGTGGGTGGGTTGTTGGGGGGGTTGCTGTGGACGCCCCCCCCCACCATCTCAGGTGGTGCCAGGGCCCCCTTGAAAACAGCACAAGTTGGTTTGTTAAGTTCATTTGCTTCGGCTTTGTTCTGAAATGAGTTTGTTTATCCACGAAAAAGAATACGAATGGCACTTTTTGCATGGGCCTCTACTTGATTTGCATGAGAACGAGTTGAATTGCTTGCTTTTTTGTTTTACTTAGGGTACAGTTGACATAATATTATTTCTATTTTGCTTCACAGCACAGCATTATTTTAAAACATTCACAGTATTTGGTAATGAAGGCACATATAACTTGGAAATATATTACGGTTCATTCTGACAGTATAATTTACATCACTACGGTACTATTGGCTGGGCAACCACACTGAAAAAACGTGTTTAATATACTCACTTTCATTTTGGCAAGTGGTTGCACAAAATAAAATCATCTGGAGCCAGATCCATTTTTAAGTAGATTTATAGACAACTTAAAACATGTATCAGAGGCCTTTTCATAACCTGATGACACTGTCTTGTTCACTACGCAAAAGCACTTGCCAAACCTATCAGTTGTTGTGTGTTCCATGATAATATAAAAAGTCATATTTTAAATGTGTTAATTCCTTTTGACACTGGCATGCAACAAGCCCAACCAAAGGATTATGATATGAATTGCAGAATTGGGTGAGGTCCTGGAAGATGCACAGGTTCCATCTTAAGGTAGCCATGCGAGAAGGAGAAAAGCTTGAGTTGGTGTTATCTCATCTCACTCTAATCACGGAATTCATTCAGTGCACCTGACCCAAATCATGAACGCTTTTAAAAAATAACATCAAGAGCTGTGTGTGTAAAAGAGACACGTCAGATTGATGTCTGTGTCATGCCATTTGGATACGTGATGGAAAAAAATCTTTTGAAGAGTGTTGTCTCTTGAATCCTTGTTTAAACTGCTTGAATAATGTCACTAACGACGCGAAGAAATGGTCCAACTTTTATTTGTGATTAAAAATGAACAAGAACATATAGTGTCTTTACTCAGCTTTATATCATACAAAACAATTCAACTTTATCTATATAGCACATTTCATAACAGCTGCAGGTTTAACAAAGCACTTCATATATAACATAACAATGATACAACAACAAAAGAAAGTGGAAACGGTAAATTAAAGCACAAATCAATGATAGTAACACATATACAGTTGACACCAGAAAACAACACAACAGTGTCAGTCTTATGTTGGGTCAAAAGCCAAGGAAGAACAATGAGTTTTCAAATGAGTTTTTAAAATGCACATGGAGCGGGCTTGCCTAACATTTAACCGAAGCTCATTCCAGAGGGAAGCGTTATCATAGCAGCTGCAGCCATGAAATATCCCAAATAACAAAATCATACATATGCAAATTCACTAAATGTGAACGGTTTGCATGGCCGAGGCCCATCCTCCAGCTCACAGGTTCTGCTCAGCCCAAACCTGCCTGACATGCCATTGCACTCACAGCTTTGTTGAATTAAGGGCTGATCCTTCCTTGGAGGGATTAACGTAGACAACACCAGACCTGGATAAATTATGAAGACTTTCAACATCAGTCTTTTTCTAATGTTGGTAAGAATGACAGTCTTTAAGGACTGGACAACTATGTGTGTGTGTGTGTGTGTGAGTGAGTGTGAGAGAGAGAGAGAGACTGAGAGATTGAGAAAACATTGTCCATATTCCTTGGGCACAGTGAGTACTGTTCAACACTCACCATGTTATTTATTACACGGCAAGCATTCATTCACACAAGTGTGGTACTGTTATGTTTGACTTTGTAAAGATGAACGTAGATAGAAAATCAGCCATGTTTATGATACACAGTGAAGGTGTCGATGTGGAACCAAGAGACATACCGTACTAGAAATCGATGAAAACACTGGAGAGATTACAGTGCATGGACTTTGAAAAACACAAATCCTTGAAGGTTAGACTGAAGATCCACTGCAGGTGTGACATCCTGGAATGCATTATGAGATGCAAAGTGATCGTTTGACATGACTTGGCCTTTGCATTACAGCTGATATTTCAGGCAATAGACAGGATCAAAAATGTAGTGGACACCCGACGGGTAATTGACATTCAAATTATTGATGCAAATGACCACTCGCCAGAGTTTGACCGTGAAATATCGGAGGTCACTGTGAAGGAGTCGACATTACAAGGTATTCAATCTTTTCAATGCTCAGATGCTTTTATTTGCTTGTGACTTTGAAAGTCCTGCCTGTTTTTGTAAATTCTGCTCACAAGGATGCTTGAAAACAGGCAAAAACAAAAATTTCCTCTCTTTGACAGGCGCCAGACTGATTACGGTTCAGGCAGTAGATGCTGACATGCAATTAAAATAAAATATTTGATTTACAAATACTGTTAGTAACACCCAAACCACATGACCTGGAGTTGTATACCTTAAGAGAAGTGATGCTCAAACTGGAACCATTTCCTTTAAAGGGTGTCTGGATTATGAGGTAAGTATTTCTGGTTTCAAAACATCGATTTCCTCAAACATTGATAAACAGCTTCCTGTCCAGCACAGTAACTCAGCAGTGAACTGTTATTGGTGCAAGAATATTTTGAGCTTTAATTTGTGTGGTGTTTGCATGTTCTTTTTGACCCTGTGTGCAGTCCGCAGAACATGTTTGTTGGGTCCAATGATGATCTCCCTTGTTGTCGCTATCCTATAATTGTCAGCCAGCTGGGCTAAACTTCACTCAGGTCACTATCAGCCTTAACACCACAGGACACACCGTGAAGACACTAGATGCATTAATGCTGGTTGTCTGTCACTGCATTCTGTTTGTCAGGCTTGTATTTTTGAAAATATACCTCTGTTTCATCCCTCCAGAAAGCAAAGAAATACACCATTTTGGTGCAGGCCAAAGATCGTGGGAAACCAAAGCAGCACTCCAGCTCCTGCACCGTCATAGTTAATATAGAAGATGAAAACAATCACCTTCCTGTCATAACAGGACAGACTGTGAGCAGTTTCTGTTTGCATTGCGTTCAGTGCTGTTATAGCACCGTGAAAGTAATTTCTTCTTTTCTTAACTGCAGGGTTCGGAAAAGTCAAAGAAGGGCTGAAAAATGTTCTTATTTTACGTCTTCAAGTCACTGACAAAGATCGAAGAGGTACAGCAGCATGGAGAGTGAAATACAGGATCCATGGAGAAATAAACAAGAATTTCAGAATCTCTACTCAATACCAAGACAAATGAAGGGTTACTGTAGGTGGAAAAGGTATTTTGCCAATACATGTACTTTTAACCTAATAGCCAACTGCTCCTGGTTGGCGGATGGTGTATTGTACTGTAATTTACTTCTGGATCTGGTTCTGTTTAGGAAGTAGATTATTTTTTCTCCAGCGTTCAGTCACTCTTTAACTTGACTGCTATTTTTGCCATTCAAAGTTGAATGTTCTCCTCTTTAATGCTACTCATGCCAGATGTCTATGAAAAGTGGATTCGATCACACAAGTACTTAAATCCAGTTTTAAATGTGCTAGCCGCATCAAATTTAGGTTAGCTTGGCAATTAGCATGGTTTCTCCCTTTATAAGAACGATCCTTGCCAGAAATGTAGCTTATTCAACCTGACGGAGATGATGATGACAAACTTCGGAGCGACTCCGCAACGTGTTTGGCGGTAGCAGTCGCCAGCTGAACACCCTGCTAGCTAGCTTATTTTTATTTATTAATTTATTTATTTCATTGCGACAGTGCACATTAATCAACAAAACTGTGTAAATGCGCCAGACTTAGCATAAATGTCAGTTTTCAGCTGAAGTCCCAAGGTAGGTTTCTTAACATAAAATAACAAAATAATATAATGCTACACATAACATAAAACACAGACAGTCATGCAATATTAGCCACTTTTCCTGTACTGTATACATTTTGTTGTTTTTGTAGCTGGTGCAGCGTAGGTAGCACCGAGTTGTTCCTAAATCTCTGACAACCTGCCGGTGAATTACTTCTATATTAATGTTTGCAGTAAATATTTTTTTTATGTTCTTTAGCATTATTTTATGTACAGTTCATGTTAATCGAAAGAGAATCAAATTTCACATTCCAGAGTGTAACAATGATTCTGAACAAAAGGCATACTGTACAAATCAATGTATTTAGTTTTGTAACGGAGAGTGACATAGTGACTAAGTTGCTGAGCTGATGTTAAGTCAAAACATGACAACTGTTTCATCAAGCCAGGGTTATTCTATTTTGTATTTTGATATTTAGTTGAATAAATACACCTTTGTGGCCTGTAGATGCCCAACTGTATCCAGACAGGAGAGGATCTAGGTGAAGACGTACCTTGTAGGTATGCTGAAGAGGGAGACCAAGACACTAACACTGAGCTTAATGCCGTTTCTATCCCTGAAGTTCCCTTTGGCCCAGACTAGGACCTGGATTTCACAATCAGACCTTCGACCTCACCCCAAATATCGCATATAAGCATGACAGAGAACATATCGACAACTCATGAAATACGAAACCTTCAAAACAATACACTCATCCCAAACATAGGCAACTGAAAATGGTCCAAACCATGGAGTACATGATAACTCTATGGTGTCTTTAAATTGATACAGGGTAGGATGAGATCAGCTTAGTTTATTTCTACGAAAGAATGTTATCTACATAATTAAACAGGAAGCAAGGCAAATTTTACCTTCCGACCTATTTGCCAGACAAAATATTTTTCCTCCACAGTGACAGCTCCACGGTTCCGTAAATCATGTGAGAGGTGAAGTAAAAATACACAAATGATGTGGCATGCCCAAGTATACCAAAATTAATATTGACTGGGGATGTGGCTACTTTCAGAATCAATCATTTACATTCAAACTCATGTCGAATGGAAGTCAGCAAACGCTTTTCATCATTTTAATTAAATGCATTTGGTAAAATGACACATGGTCCATACATTAAGTCTTATTTTTTTCCATGAAGCTGACGTTTAAGGTGTGAGTGCACAAACATTAAGTGCATTTAAAGGTGTGTTTATGAAGCAAGACAACAACAAGAAAACGAAGCTAACAGTTCACCTACAATGTGTGTGCGTTGCCGACAATTACGCCAACATTTATCACAATGAAGACAAATACACGTGTAAAGTTTGAATAATAAAGAATCGAAAGAGAGCATTGTCCACGTACGAGTCACGAGGCCTATATGCTGCAACGAGGGTGCAACGCAGTCAATGACGTTATGAAGAAAGCATGTTCATACAAAACTGAGAACTCACCGACTTCCTTCTGATATGAAATGTGCGCGTTCCGTAAGAGTGGCGCAGCAGTTCGTCGATAGTTTGGAACATAACGCATTTGAAAGGTCGAGTTATTTTCTCTATCTCCATGTGCATTTTTCTTAAAAAAAAAAAAAAGGCCAATGGGTAAAAACTGCACTCTCGCAATGTTGAATGTGTCCTGACACCGAGACAAATTTATCCTCTACTGCCGTCAAGCGGTTGACTAAATAAACAACGCCATGAATTCAATACAGAGGAGTCAATGAGCAGTCTCCAAACGGCTGATCAAACATAAAAAAGGAGTAAGGAACAGAATCATCAGTTAATTAGCCAAAAACCGGGCAGCTATCAACAATAGGTGTTATTTTCTGCTAAACCAAGAAATGCAGCTGGAAAAGGACGTGAATACTCATCTCTCCCATAGTTTGTCTTTGAAACGGTGGCCTTTCTTCTCTCACAACATGCACACGTGGGAAAAAACTGTTGGTGCTCTTCTATTATTGAAAGAGGACCAAACAGAGTTATTAAAAATAATTTTAAGAAACTCATGAAAGAGGACTGGTTTTATATAACCTTTCCCTATAATTTTCTTTCTGGTCCTCTGAGACAAAATACTTCATTTCTAGTTCATGTTAAGTGTGGTACATACCATGTCACCAAACAGCAGTGCCTACTTGTCAGCCTTCAACAAGTGATGCTAATTATAGTACACACCTTGGTTTAAAATGTCTCGATGGCCTCTAATTATTTTCTTGGGGGACTATCATTTTCGTTCAGACCAGTTTGTTCTGTATATATATATATATATAGAGAGAGAGAGAGAGAGAGAGAGAGAGAGAGAGAGAGAGAGAGAGAGAGAAAACAGAATCCAAAAGCAATGTCTGATTTTCATTGGGTCAATTTTTATTCTTTTTGTCAGATTAAAGTTATTTTGTGACAACAGTCGGCAAACAAGTTTTCTCCACATGTGTATGTAATCCTAAGTAATGCATCAATACTCCATCCATCCATCCATTTTCTTAACCGCTTATCCTCACAAGGGGTGCGGGGGGTGCTGGAGCCTATCCCAACTGTCTTCGGGCAGAAGGCGGGGGACACCCCGAACCGGATGCCAGTCAATCGCAGGGCACACAGAGACGAACAACCATCCGCGCTCACATTCACACCTAGGAACAATTGAGTGTTCAACGAGCCGCCCATGCATGCTTTTGGAATGAGGGAGGAAACCGGAGTACCTGGAGAAAACCCACGCAAACTCCACACAGAAAGGTCAGAGCTGGAATCAAACCCAGTACCTCTGTACTGTGAATTCGATGCGCTAACCACTGGAACACCGGGCCGCGCATCAATACTCATCTATTGTATTTGCAACATATGATGTGCAGCCTTTATTTAAGTAGTTTGCTGTGTTTATTTGCGGGCAACTATTAATTGGTAAACTTACAATCTGTACAGAAATTCTAACAAAACGAGTGATACTATGGATCCCAAATTGCATTAATAAACAAAACAAACATCTTCAACTATTTGAATATGTTTATTCAACAGCTGAAAACTCAAATGAGCAGAGTTGTTGGTAAACATAAATGATATAGTTCAAACCAAAACCTTGAGAGTCGTGGCAGGACAACTCAGGGCTGGTCAACCACGTCACCCGTTTACAATCCACTGAGCGTCTGACAGTTCCTGCCCGAGAAGAACATTGCCAAGCTAGAGTAAGCTCACTACCCATCTGATCTGGCTCAAGGATGTCATGGAGGGGACCCATTTTAAAGATGGTGGAGAACATCATGGTGACCATGACGACAGAGCTGCGAAGAATCCCGGGTGAACGTGTGGCAGAGAAGGCGATGAAAGTGCATTCAGTTCAAGGTGGAAAGAGGAAAACGTGTAGTTTGGATTTGGACTCTCTTTGGTTATACAAGTCTTGGAACTCTTCTGACAAAGCTCGCATCATTCCTATTACCATCTTGTGGGTTTTCCTCCCTCTGTGCTGCCGTCTCCATGGAGATAGCCGTCATATAGCTCTCTAAGATGAAGGATGAGTTCTTCAGTGTTGTGCCCGGTTAGAGCTGACACGGGAATGACTCTCTGAGTAACACGACTCTTCAAAGTCTCCAAGTTCTCCCGAGCTTCGTGTAGGTCTATTTTGTTGGCCACGATTGCATGAGGCCGCTGAGACAGACCAGGCTCATACTGGTCCAGTTCATAGCGCAAGTGCTGGAGCTGATTCCAGGGCTCGGGAGAGGACGCGTCCAGAACAAAGAGCAGGAATCGGCAACGCTCAATGTGCCGCAGGAAAGAGATGCCCAAGCCTCGATTTAGATGTGCTCCTTGAATGATTCCTGGAATGTCAGCCACTGTAACAGGGAGCACAGACATTTTGAAAAGCATGCCAAATACATAAGTGCATCCGGAAAGAACTCACAGCATTCACTATTTTGACATTATGTTTCAGCCTTAATCCAAAATTGAATAAATTCATTGACAAATGTAATTAGTTTATTTTTTATTTTTTTAAACAACCTTAATTATGAACCAACTCAACTCAATTTATGTACACCTTTCAGAAATTAATGAGCGCAGCGGACTCTGCCTCCCCAAAGACACACAGGGCCCTCAGAGTGGCGTCAGGGCCTCAGAGAGAATTCCCAAAGGCACCGCAAATTGATTGCAGCAATCAACTTCCAGGTGGACAAAACTTCCACTTCTAACTAACGGGGGGAAAATGTTTAGTTTAAAAAAGCTCAACTACAAGACTGCATCACATAGTGGCCAAAAGTAGAATCCTGGTCGGTTATTGCACCTTTTGCTGCTGTAAATAATAAATCCTTGTTGTGGCAGACACTGCATGCTAGCGACAGCCATTCTGTCACACTTTAGATGCCATAATTACAATTCTTCATCTTTTAGTTCTTCTTTTGCTTCCATTTCTTCTACTGCTTTTTGGCAGTTGCCAAATACTTTTGATGCACTATCACTAGTTGAAAGAAGGTGGCAGTAATGCACAGAAAGTCAACCGAATTAGGGAACAGGATTTTGGGTGCCAGTCCTGGCTCCAATTTTAAAAAATAC